TCCGGACGCGGCGGTAGGCTCATGGGTTTTGCTTGAGAGCGTCAGTAGGGCGGGAAGGGTACGCACCCCCAACGTCACTCTTGTGGACCAAGACGGTTGACAGTTGCCCCGTGGGGGGGTGTTTGCGGGTATGAAACTCTGCGTCGAGTGCAGTTGAGTAGTGCACCAATTGAGCAATCGATGATGAAATAAGAACAAGAACACCGTTTCTGGAGACAACTGGACGACGAAATAAGAACCTGGCAAATAAGAACTTGTGCTCGGCTTGGGGCAGCCAACAAGAAGCGAGCCTCGCTCCAAATAAGAGGTTCTTAAGTGCGGGCCGGTTCTGTATTTTCAGTAGATTCAAATGATCAGTGAAAATGATCAATGAGAGGGTTTGTAGACCCATAGCTGGTTCTTGTACTTCTGTAGTACAGTCGACCCCGCTATGAGGAAACACAGTCTTTGGTTTTGCTTCGAAAAATGTTTCCTCAACGCGGGGAAGTGTCCTTAAACTGAAGGGGATCAGAACGCACCATCCCCGGGGTCAATGGTGGCGGTACATACGTCAAAAGGTGCGCCCTGGGCAGGGCATCGTTGAAATAAAAAAAGAGGCTGGGAGTCGGCGAGAAAATAATTGTTTATTGCTGAACACCACCACACAGCACGGAAAGTACCTGATGGACACTTCAAATTCACCTGNGTTTTGCTTCGAAAAATGTTTCCTCAACGCGGGGAAGTGTCCTTAAACTTAAGGGGATCAGAACGCACCATCCCCGGGGTCAATGGTGGCGGTACATACGTCAAAAGGTGCGCCCTGGGCAGGGCATCGTTGAAATAAAAAAAGAGGCTGGGAGTCGGCGAGAAAATAATTGTTTATTGCTGAACACCACCACACAGCACGGAAAGTACCTGATGGACACTTCAAATTCACCTGGTGACTTTTGTTTACCCTTGGGGGAGCGCACGCAGAAACTCTCCTGCGTTACTCTCTACTGGAGCGCCATTCAGACACAAGCACACAATACGGCGTATGGCCGACAAACCGCAAACACTCATCTCCCGGACTCTTGTCTGGAGAAGACGTGAATTATTTGTTGTGTTCTGAAAAAACAAAAGTTGTTATTCTAAACCGTGACCATCCCCGGTCGACAATAATGTGGTTGGTTATGGTTGGGTATGTATACATGTCATATATTTCCTAATAATGAGCCGCGGAGCGAGCGACATTTTTGCCCTTCGTCCCCAGGAGGGAAAAAAAGGCTCAATGAAAAGGATATGCACGCGCGGTGCAATCTCGGAGACCCGTGAAGACGAACTCACCTGTTACTAACTCGCGTGGAACAGCTGCAGTAGCTGTTGCCAAGGGAAGGTAGAGGATTGCCTAAGATGGGGCCAGGATCAGTCAGCTGCTCAAGCAGGGGCTACTAGATTCTGTCCCCTGTTCTATCCTTCCGTGGGGAGTTGCATCTCGAACTTTAAGAACAATAGTCTATTCTTCTACGCTCCACGAACGTAAGTACGCATCTATATCCTATACCACTAGCCCACCCTGGAGATTGTCATACGCAAATACTATAAAAACCTCGGGGCTTGACAAAGCAAACTCGAATCCGAAAATGAAAGTATCGAGGATGGATGTGGATCTCCGAAACGACCCAATTCACCCTCCCACACCTCTTTGTCCTGTTTGCTCCGTTACTCCCATGCCCTGGTGCGTAGTGCCTGGTGCCGGTACGTTACCCTTTGATTTTTTGTTTTGGCGGGTGTGGGAATCGTCCTCCTTTATTTTTGCTTTTGTTGAATTTTAATCGGTTTCCGAGGGCTCTTTTCTCGAACGGTCGGTGCGGTACCCTTTCTTTTCTTTCTATCATTTTCTTTTCTTTTTCCGTTTGTACCCTATTATTGTTTTGTTTCCCGGTGACGTCGTATGTGCCGGGTACTGAGACCACGGGCCCCCCATTTTTTGTGGACTATAGAGCGAATGTGAGAAACAACAACACAAATAAAAACCTCTCACTCGATGAGTCGCAAGACCATGGTTTGACTTATAACAAAAGGTACCAAAAAAAGAAACAATGGAACGACTGAGGCTAAGAGAAAACTAAAGGCACTAGAAACAGGGCGGAACCCAGGAGAAAAGAGCAAGAAAGAATGAAAGATAGAAGGAAACGAAAGAAACGCCGTTGGAACGACGACGAAATGGGAAACAAATGCCGTCGAAAGGTTACGAGATATGAACAGTCTGTAATCGTCGACACAGACACAGAGACGAAAAGAAGGTGAAAAGAAACCAACGTGAAAAGCAAGAGACGGCACAAACAACCAAGCATGTCGTCAATGTGGGCGCGCGACGTCATCAGGGAACGAATCGGTCACAACGTCGCCACGCGACATGTCGATGTTGCGAAGAAGATCTTTGAATAGGGCACTGCCGCTGTGTACATGGAGGCACCAGAATCCGGAGACGGCGGTTTCGACGGTAGAGTAGCGAACATCGGGAAGGGCGAGCTTGACAGGTCCAGGATCGTCCAAGAAGCAGACGACGTAGAAGTCGGACGGCAGAGGTGGTCCACAAATCTTGCCCAACCACCAGAGTCCGTCTCGTGCCGTGTACCAGAAGAAGGCGCCCACAGGTAGAGGAGTGTTGGCGAAGCGACGGTCCCATGTTGAACGGGAAACAAGCGAGTAGCCCGAAGGCAAAGCTGGCGCACCTTGAGCACGCGCCAATTCCCTGGTAGCGGCACCAACACGCATCGCACGATAACGGCGATTTGTTTGGCGATGTTGGTCAGGCGAACCTGCCCAGTACCGGAGAATGCGCGGCTTGAAGTGCTGCAGGTCCATCTCACGCTCCCAAGAAGGGCGCAGAAGGCCTTGCCAATGTGTCTGATATAAGACAGCCATCGTGCCCCCACGGCCACGGACGGACTGGTGGCCACTAATAATACGTTCAACCTCTAGACGTTCAACCGGAGTCAACACGTCGTCTTCGGTAACATGGTAGGGAGGAGAATTGTTCGCATAAGGGTTTAGGACGTACGGAGAAAGACCAGCGGGCAGAAAGCGCGGTAGGTCATCGGTGTCATGCGGGTTGGCGCAAGGCTTGCAACGCACAACCGAAACACGAGGTTTCGAGTCTTGGCCCGGCAGGTCCGACGAAAGATCCAAGGAAAGCCACTTGGAAGCCAAGGGACGACCGTCAGGGCTGTCAGAACACGGGCCCACAGCCAAGATTTTGAAGGGGCCAGTCCAGAGTAGAGATAACTTGGCTTTGAGAACCCTATCATCTGTGCCTGAACGAACGCCTTGTCGAATAGTAGATTCGGAGTTATACACCCAAACCCCACCAACAGTGTAAGAAGGAACCTTATGGAAAGCGCCCGATAGAGTGGAATTACGCCGCTCAATCCGCGAAACGGACAGGTTATGCTGTTCACGCACCAAGTCGTAAGAACGACGTTGGCGATCAGCAGCAAGATCGCAATATTCGAGTTGATCACGATGCAAGCTTTGGTGGCCACGAGCGTAAGGATGCTCAAGAACAGTCATCGGTAAACGAGGCAAGCGATTCATATGCACCTCATTGGGCGCTAAACTGGTAGCGGCGCTAACGGAATTGTTAAAGCGAACTCGACGTGCGGGAGATGAACGTCCCAATCATCTTGTCGTTCGTTGACGACCATAGGCAACATCTGAGCCATAGTGTGGTTGACACGCTCCACACCCCCATTTCCATTGGGATGGTACGAGCTAGTAGCCACTTTGCGGATAGCAAGACGGGCATACACGACTTCGGACAGTCTAGAGCATAACTGAGAGCCGTTGTCAGACAAACGACTCAACGGGCAACCGAAACTGAAACGGTCTGTAACGAGCATAATGTACGTGTTGCCACACGGTGTCAACGGAAGGGGACCAAAATAGTCAACACTCACCGACACACCAGGGCCCGAAGGCAAAGGAAGGGATATGGAAGACCACCGAGGAGTCTGACGAGACGATTTACGGGCTTGGCATCGTAAACAATGCCGCACCCACCACTTCGTACAAACACTCATGCCAACCCACCAAAAGAAACGTTCCAGGATGCAGCGTGCGAGCCGCACCGAGGTGACAGGACGCATCCGCGCGGCAGACTTGCATGATCCACGGACGCATGAGCATGGGAACATAAATCCGAATGGGCTCATCGTTCAGAAGGCGAGCAGCACGTCCGCCAGGACGCGTGGTCGTGGACGACGGGGTCGCTGTTTGATTGCGAACAAGCAAGCCCAAACCATCATCGTCGACATGTAACTGGCCTTTGTTAGACAGGTCACGAATCTCCGAGAGGGTCGACGAGCGGACGGAACACGGACCAAGAAATCCGAAGGGAGGGCCGAGGGTCGACCCAGAAGGATGAAACGAATTGCTACATCACACACAGGTTCGTTACGTTGCTCGCGAGCCCAATCAGCATGCGAGAAACGTTCGACGGACGCCCGGAAGGCTAGATCCGCCGAAGAATGCAAAGCCGCCTCGACTGATTCGCGAGGCGCCGACTGCAACCCATCCGAGAATAGAGCAGCCGTGGAAGCCAAAGGCAAATTCGCGACAATAACTGACACCAAGCGCGACAAAGACTCCGAAGAGCCGGGGTCTGCAGGAGGCTGCAAAGCAGGAACAACCGCAGTTGTGGTAAGCGTCGGAGACGCATTCTCCACTCCATGAGCCAGAGGCGCGGAGGGAGTTGAGGATAAACCACCAGTACCAGTAGTCGAAACCCAACTGGGCAAGGCTGGTGTCATTGACGGCGACGAAGGGGACGTCGGAGACCGCCGAAACGGTCGACAAGGAGCGGAAATCCGCGTGGGAGACAAAGAAGGCTCATCGTCAGAAAAACTATTATCAACAGGCGAGAGTGGCGTGCCTTCCACAGCTGCCTTGCGACGACGAGTCCTGGTGGAGATTACTTGGGTGGGGTCGAGGATCCGACGCGGGTTTCTAAGGGCCGGAACGGCAGATGGAGGCTCGGGCTCGAGAGCCAAAACATCATCGAAAGTCTGAGGTAGGGAACCGGACCAAACGATGGGAGGTCGATTGCGCAATCGCGACCGCGCCGAACGGCAGAACATCCCGGACGGCAAGGGAGCGATCTTGGGCAACAAGGAAGCGACGTTCCAAACGCCCGATGAAGACGAAGGGCCTGATGACGGTAGACGCGGACCGTGCCGACGGAAATCAGCGAAGTCAGCCGTACAGGGGGCAAGCCCATCCAAGACCGCANGATGGGAGGTCGATTGCGCAATCGCGACCGCGCCGAACGGCAGAACATCCCGGACGGCAAGGGAGCGATCTTGGGCAACAAGGAAGCGACGTTCCAAACGCCCGATGAAGACGAAGGGCCTGATGACGGTAGACGCGGACCGTGCCGACGGAAATCAGCGAAGTCAGCCGTACAGGGGGCAAGCCCATCCAAGACCGCAGTCGGGGGATTAGGAACTAGCCCACCCAAGCCAATACCCGCGGCCCGATCACCGGAAGGGGTGAGGCCACACGAATGGATGAAAAAACCGCCTCTTCATCCTCAGCCGGGGTCAGACGGCTGCGACCCGAGCGTTCGCATTCAGCCGCAGCGACTGGGAGGCGTGAGAGGAAATCAGCGTTGCCATTCGCGGAACCTTTGCGATACTCGAGAGCGTAGTTGTAGGCAGAAAGAATTCCACCCGGCGCTGAACGCGGGCATTGTTCTCCCCGAACTTAGCAAAATGCTCGAGAGATTTGTGGTCGGCAAAAATGCGAAATTTCGTACGCCACAAGTAATCGCGAAGGCGCTTGATACACCACACGATGCTACCCGCCTCGAAATCGAGGGGAGTTCAGTGACATTCTGAGTCCAAAGTAGCCCGACTGATGAAGACAATTGGGCGAATTGAACCATCTGGCTGTTCTTGTTCGAGAGTCCCACCAAACCCATCGCGACTAGCATCACAGAAAAGATGAAAAGGTCGCGAGCCGTCTGAAACGGCATCCCAATCTGGATAAACCAAAACAGGAGGATTGGCCAACTCAGTTAATAAAACGCGAACGGCTTGCTCCATGGAAGGGGTGAACATAAACTTCTCCTGCTTCTCGAGTAGAGTAGTCAGAGGTCGAATGCGTTAAGCCATGTTGGGGAGGAACTTACGGTAGTAGCTGAGACCACCGAGAAGGGAACAGAGTTGCTTGACATCCTTGGGCATAGGCAGTTTGGTGAGGGCCGAAACCTTGGCACCGTTCAGCCTAACGCCGTCAGGGGAGATGGTGTGTCCGAGGAAGTCTGCCTTAGAAGCGCCAATAGTAGCTTTCGGAGGCGTGAGTTTCAAGTTGTGCGTACGCAAGCGTTCAAAGAGGGCGTGCATGGTACCAACATGAGTAGCAGGGGTGTCATCAAAGACGATCAAATCATCCAAGTACGATGCAACACCGCGGAAATTTTTGATGACTTCGTTGACAACGTTGCAAAACCACCTAAGGGCAGCCGAACTGCCTTGAGGCATCTTCAACCACTCGAAAAGTCCGGAAGACGTCACGAATGCGTTCAAAGGGATTGTATCGCGGTGCACCGTGAATTGGTGGAACGAAGATTTCATGTCGAAAAGGGAATAAAGCCGCCGTTTCAACAACTTGTCCAAAGTATCATTGACTCGAGGAATCGGAAGCTGACTCAAAGCACAAAGCTTGTTGAGCTTGCGATAATTGACGGTGATGCGAACCCCACCAGATTCCTTCGGTATGACTATTAAAGGGTAAGGGGAGGTCGAACGTTGGATCAAACCTGCCGCAAGATATTAGTCAAGGATCGCGTCAACTTGTTTCGCCACCGGGGGATTAACGCGGTAGGGGCGAGACGTGACTGGTGCACTGCCAGGAGGAACTGTAAGCTTAAAAGGAAAAAGCGAACAAGATCCAACGTCGGTCGGAGAACTCGAGAATACATCATGGTATTCGCACAAAACGTTACCAAGCTGAGTAATGACATCAGGAGTCCAACCCGGGCCGTGGAGACCAAAAGCAATCTCACGGAGGTGGCAGGGGAGCTTATCCCAGACTTGGGAGAAACTTTGACGCTGTTCTGGCGTCAACCGCTCGAGAAGGGCAGGCGAAGGCGACGAAGAGGAAGCACTGGCGGAACCAAAGTCCCCTCGGTCGCTTCGCGACGGGGCGGGTCGCTCGTGCAAGTTATACACAAGGGGGTCAGAGACGGAGTGCGTGGCAGACGAATCAACGCCACCTGTAGGAACAGGACCAGGGACCCAGCTGTCTGAAGCAGCGATAGGTTCTGAAGCCGAAGTTTGAAGACCATCGCTCAAACTGTGGCGAGAGACAGCGCTAAGGGGCACGCGAAGAAGGGGAGCCGAAGCATTACCCAGAACGTCGCCGGGTTCGAGAGACGAGATACCCGCAAGAGTTCGTTGGCAACCATTTTTCACAAAACGTTCCTCGGAAGAAAACATGGCACATTGGGGGAGCATATCCACTAAAGAGTTACCCACAAGGGCAGGCGAGCCATCACTGCGTACCAAATTGACCTGAATGAGGCTATGCTCTGAGTGAAGTTGAACGGAGTGCTTGCCTGCATAGCGAAGTTGGTAACTTCCATCCGTTGCGGACAGATCGTGAGCAAATGCAGTGGCACCGCAAGTGTCATGTTCGACTAATGTGAGCTCACCAAAGCCACGGTCACCGGGACGTTTCGCACGCAAGGTGCAGTAAGAACGGTCATTGAGCCGCATCCAACTATCTCTGCCGAGGAGCACGTCATGATGCATGACGCCGTCAGGAACAACGTATGCCCAAACAGCAAGAGAGGAAGTAGGAAGGTTCTTACGGAAAAATGAGCACTCAAACGGACAATAGTCGAAGTTTGAAGCGGCGCAAATTTCCCAAAACCACCCCAACAGCGAGGTTGGGTGTGTTTCTCAGACAACGTCGAAGCAGCCGAAGCCGCTTTCATGGATTCCCGCAGAAGCACTAATATTAGACTGCGGAGAACCCGTATCCAAAAGAGCGACACACCCAAACTGCACAGAGGCCGAAACGCTGTGGAGGAGGGTTCTGGTGGTGAAAGAGTCGTCATCGATGGTGACAACACCACCAACCAAATCCGGACCTTGCTCTGGGAGCGAGGAGGAGGACGACGGGATGTACCCGGAAGACACGGCCCAAACGGCGGTGTCGTGATCCGACGGAACATTCGGGGCATATTGCGAAAATTACGCGAACCGGTCGGTCGATGGAGGGCACAAAGCCGTCCAATGGCGCTGGTGTGTGGAAAGGTTAACTTCATACACCACAGAATGAAGGGACGACGTCGGAACGTGGTCGGTCGGGGGCAGCAAACAAGAGCTGCGCTCGGAAGGCGGGGCACGGTGTCGTAAAAGACTGCGTACGTTCTGTAGGGCGGTACCTAACAGATTGAGGCTGCGCCATCTAGATGTGTATCGAGCGTCAGGATGATCGGCCTGGAGGCCAATGCCTCAAACACGGTCGTAGGGACTGGCTTCGGCAAGGATTTTGTCACCAGATCCGAGGAGATGATTTCGCAACTCGGAATTTTGACTAAATTTTGCGTAAGAGCCACTGAGCACAATGTTTTCGCGTTCTTGTTCCCAAAGAGATAGGTCGAAACCACGGACCTCACGGCCAAACTTTTTGTGTAAGGCAGGGTCTGACCCTCGCATGACGTTCTGCACAGCACAGCGATCTCCGAAAAGACGGGCTTTTTGTGCAGGGAAAATTTGTTGGGCACACAATAAAACAACGCCATCGACCGTGAAGGTCGACGGTGTCCATTGGGAAAAGGGGGAGGGCGGCTTCCAAAATTCCGACGAAGCAGCAATCCGACGAGGCGAGGGTGCAGAGGTTGCAGACGATAAGTGCGATGGCAAAGGTGGGATGTGAGCACTTGGCTAAATACCAACTTGATCGACACTTGAAGAAACAGCGTGTACCTGAGTACCGCTGCCAATGGATAGCATCGAAGTGCGAGAGCGCGTAGGGAGAACATTCACCGAAGTACTGTTGTGATTGCGTAAGACCGAAGTGCTATTAAAGAGGCAATAGAGCACGTGGGGATAAGCAGTACCGAAGTAGAGTTATCGTCGCGTAAGACCGAAGTGCTAGAGGCAACTGAGGGTGATACACGCGCGTCTTGTGTTGAGCGAGACGAAGTTCCCAAAGATGCTGGAGGCGGTCCGAGGGAAGGAGGCGAACCACCGTCGGGGAGTCATCCGGTACGTGAACGGCCGCCATTGTGGAAGTTACCAGGTTGGCGTGCGTTGTGATTGGTCGAAACCATGACGCCAGACGAGGGACCAAATTGAGCATGCAATTGGGGTTGATGGACGGACAGAGCACCAGTGTGGTGGGTGTTGCCAGACGTCTGTTGTGTATGATGATGGTTACTCGCGGAATGTCCCGCGGTTTGACCACGGTGGTGTGATTGTTGGTGGTGATTGTGAGAGGAACTACGACCGTCGGAACGGCGAGGCCCAGCGTGGTTTCTACGCTGAGAGGAGGAGGAAGAAGACTGCCGATGGCGTCTACCCTGATTGTTTTTGCGGCCATCTGAACCCTTACCCCTCAAGGATCGCATGCGGCCTTGCCAACGCCTAAAGGAANCCAGTGTGGTGGGTGTTGCCAGACGTCTGTTGTGTATGATGATGGTTACTCGCGGAATGTCCCGCGGTTTGACCACGGTGGTGTGATTGTTGGTGGTGATTGTGAGAGGAACTACGACCGTCGGAACGGCGAGGCCCAGCGTGGTTTCTACGCTGAGAGGAGGAGGAAGAAGACTGCCGATGGCGTCTACCCTGATTGTTTTTGCGGCCATCTGAACCCTTACCCCTCAAGGATCGCATGCGGCCTTGCCAACGCCTAAAGGAAGCAGAGTCGTCATTGAGGTGACCCAACTCGGGATTCAACAACCCACTAGAATTCGTGAAGCGAAAAGCACATTGCTTCATGGAGTGGTCATCACCCGAGCAGTTCAGACAGCGGTTTCTGTTTTCGCGGAAGGCTTGCGATCGAGCCTCTTGTGTCAACAAAGGAGTCCATAAAAAAGGATCATCGGTGCTACGGAAATTAGCGGTGAGGGCGTATACATCAGACCAGTCGGCTTGCGAAGCACGCCACGAATTGTTCTTGTGCGTGAAAGGATCCGCGACTTGAGGTTGCACGGGCAAAACTACAGGGTTCTGTGCGGAGCCGGATGCCCACTGGCCCGAAGACGCAGGGGCGCGGTGGTTAGACCGCCGAGGCTGCGAAGAGCCACGGGTCGAAGTCAACGAGAAATAAGATGAACCACCGATAGCCGGGGTTGTATTAGTCGCCAATGGCGCGAACGCCTCCCACATAACTGCAATTGACTCAAAGGGAGTGACCGCAGTGTCCAAAGCACCCGGGTACAAAAGCGGAGACAGACTCGGAAATTGCTTGTCGACCGAATTTCGCACTATTTCGAGAACCATGGATACACTAGGGGCCAAATTACGCTCAGAGCCAGTCACAGACGAAACTTACAATCAGAAAGCCCGGAGATATTCCGCGAAAGGAGTACCATCTGCTAAACCAATTTGTTGCAGCCGCATAGACGACTCTTGGCGGCCTCCGACGTCAAATTGCTCCGCAGGGTGGCGCAACAGTAGCTGTAAAGCGTCTGGTCCAGGGGCTCCACCATCCAAGCTCCGTTTCACTAGCTGAAAGTAACCCGTAATGGCAAGGACCAGATCGGCGGCAGAGGGCTTGTTAGGGGTGATCACACTCAAGAGTTTTTTTTTCGAGAGGACGTTCCCATCCACGCACAAAATCAGTGCCTGTCAAACCTTCACTCTGCGCATCGCACAACAGCAAAACATCGGACAAAGCCGTTCTTGTTGTGCGAATAAGATGCTGATAGCCATCTCCCGGCAACAGAGTAGCGGAGAAGGGCATCGTAGCGACATTCTCAACTTTTTTCAAGTTGAGGGTGATGTACGCTCGTTGTACAGTAGCTACATGAGCATTACGAGCAGCTGCATCAGTCGCATCGATCGATGCTTGACGAGTGTTTACCGTGTTAGAAGAAAGTGGCAATGCACGGTCATCGGAAACAGCAGGGGGTGCGGCGACGGCTACCGAAGCAGCTGTGGAAGCATGGTCTGAGGACAACATACTACGCGAAACACCCGGCACACGNATTACGAGCAGCTGCATCAGTCGCATCGATCGATGCTTGACGAGTGTTTACCGTGTTAGAAGAAAGTGGCAATGCACGGTCATCGGAAACAGCAGGGGGTGCGGCGACGGCTACCGAAGCAGCTGTGGAAGCATGGTCTGAGGACAACATACTACGCGAAACACCCGGCACACGTGGTACAAGCGCCGAAGGGGGGTTGAGGTTCGAAAACCCATGGTTCTGCATCAGTCGTGGATCTACGGCATGGCGAGCGGTAGTAAGGCTAAGGGGTGCAAAGGTTTCCAAAGAAACAGGGGCGGCCGAAACCGGGGCTGAGTTCGAAAGCTCAACGCTACGTACACGTCCGGAGTCTACAGCATTGAATGCGGCAGAAGGGACACAAGGTGCAAAGGGGTCCGAAGAAACGGGGGAAGCCAAAGGCGGGGGAAGGTCCGAAAACGCAACACGACACAAAAGCCCTGAGTCCGAGGAAACAGGGGGGGGCGAAACCATACCAACAACCGAAGTTGAGGGGGGGGGCGAAGCCTGAGAAAAAAATAATCATGTAAAAGGAAACGATCACTCAACGCCGCATCCATAAGGGACGGGACTAGTTGCCTGGAAGAAGAGCCCTTCCGAGCGTCGTACTTCCGGGTGAGACTCCGGTCCGGGCCTGAGCCCGATCCGCCTCCACTGCCACCAGGCCCGCTCGTGTGGCGCTTGGCCTGCTGCCGTGCCCAGCCATCGCCCGCCGATGAAGATGGCTCCGGGGGGCGGCGAGACGCTCCCGCAGAACTCCAGCCCGAGTCCTCGCCCGAGCTACTCTCTCGCACGGTGCGCTGGGCCGGCTTGGCCTTGACGCGGCCGGCCTTGGGGCTGCTGGAACGCCGAAGATGCCGGAGAAGCCACTGTGCAGCCGGGCCACACCACCGGAAACGTTGCGTTCATGATGGCCGCCCGCATCGCCACGAGGAGGCAGCTCACCAAGTCTTGGAGGTCGGGCCGAGACCCGTTTGCCACGTCGGCGGCGTCCTGGATGGAGCAAGCCGACGACAGGGCCGTGGGCACGCCAGTCGCTCGATCCATGACGGCCTTGCGGTCGTCTACCTGATAGTTGACCTGGGCGTACCTGGCAACGTCGGACAACCTGACCTGGGTGAATCTAGCGTCCCCGGCCTCAAAGGTGACGGAGCGCGACCGTGCGGAAGACCGAGTCACAGGGCTGGAGGCGGCAACGGCGTACGTCCGAGCCACCGATGCCGACGGAGCAGGAGCGGCAGTAGGGGCCGGTCCCGGCACGGAGCGCCCCGCCCGAACTCGAAGATCGTGTTCGCGCTGTCGATCAGCTCGGGCCTGCTCGGCGACCAACGCGTCCTCCTGGCGGCGGTCGTCGGCGAGCTGGGAGGCCAGCAGGGCCTCTTCCCGTTCCTGCGCTTGTTTCCGCTGGGCGTAGGCCAAGATGGTATCGGTGTTGGTGGCGCCGCGCGCACGGCACACCGCGATTTTGGCCTGGCGTTCAGCAGTCTCTTTGATGAACTCGGCATCGAGCCGAGCGTTGCGGTCCCGAAGAGCCGCTTCGCGGTCGAGGTCGACCGCCTCGCCCGCTTCCCGGCGAACCCGGGGGGAGAGGGCCAGCAGCCGCTGGTCGTCGGTCTTGCAGTCCCACAGGATTGGACAAACCCAACGGGGGCGCTGCGGAGGTGCCGACGAGGTCGGGGGTGCCGCCGAGGCCGCGCGTGCCGCCAAAGCCGCGAGCGCCGCCGAAGCCGCTGGGGCTGCCGAAACAGCGGGGGCTGCCGAAACAGCGGAGGCCGCCGAAGCAGTGGGGGCCGCCGAAGCAGCGGCGGCAGCTGAAGTCGCAGTTGCTACCGAAGCCGTGGAAAGCGAGGCCGGGGGGACCGGCGACGCCGGGCGGGGGGTAGCCGAAGACCTCTCGCCGGCGACAGCGGTCGTTGCTCGGATCGCAGGGGTGGAGACGGCTCCACCAGCGAGAGAGGCCGCCTCAGGGTTGACCACAAGCTGGGTGGCGACCATGGTAGATTGTCGGAGGAGGTCGCGAAGACGACGGTTGTCGTTTCATGTCATTTTGAGAAGGGATAAAGCAGCGGAAGTGGCGGCATGTTCGTGTGAGGAGGAGAGCATGGGGGGAGGTGGAGGCACCGCATTATGCAAAATAACAGGTGCATCGGCAGGTGTTCTGCAGGAGTAACCGAGGTTACTGCTAGAGGAGCCGAGGCCGCAACTAGCGTGCGAACAGCGGTCGACACGGCAGACATAGAGTCGGCTGTGGGTACACGATCAGCAGTGAGGGATGCAGTCCGAGACGAAGCTACTGGCACGGTAACTACTGGGTTAATGATAGTCGAATGTGTACGCCGGACGCCCATAGTGCGAACACGGGGAATCGCCATCATTGGGGGCAAAGGCGGAGCTACAGGAATCGATGCAGTAGAGGCAGTTGAAACTGCAGTCGTCGACGGAGCTACTGAAGCCAATGCATTTGAAACAGTCGAAACTGGGGCTGGCAGTGGGGAAGCTACGGGGACAAAGGTAGCGGAAGCGGGAGATGCTGCAGACATATGGGAAGCTACTGCAGCAGATGGTGGGGCAGCAACCGAAATTGCAGTTGAAGTAGTCGAAACTATAGAAACAGGTGCATCAAGACCAAGGAAAGCAGCCACGGCAGTCGAAACGACAGGAGCAGATGCAACGGGGGCAGTCAAAACTATTGAGACGGTTGCATTGGAAACGGTCGGAACCGCAAAGGCAGTCGAAACCACCGGGACAGACGCATGTGAAGCAGTCAAAACCAAAGGCACTGACCCCACTGAAACGGATGCATGATGGTCATGAAGTCGTTGGGCACGAGCGGCGGCTTGTGAACGACTGCTACGCGACGAAAGAGGAGGAATGGCCGGCACAGTGTAATCGAAATGCAGTGTGCGGCCAACAACAGAGCCATGAGGCAAGCGTGGCACTACAGAGCCAGTATTGTCAAAGCCAATGTCTGCCCCACCAGCAGAAGGCTCAGCGGCGGTGGAGGTGAGAGGAAAAGTGAGATCAGCAACATGTGGTTCCGGCGGGAATTCTTGGGACACACCACCAGCGGCTGCAAAAACAGAAGGCTCGGTACTCGAAAGCACAGAGGTGGAAACCGAAGCTTCTGCTGTGGGTGCAGGCAATTTGAGGACAGCACCCACAGGGACAGCGTCAGTAGAAGCCGTGGAGGCGAACTCCTCCCGTCGGCGCTGAGCGCGAAGCTCTGACAAACGGGTGGCTTCTATGATGGGGTCAGCGCGCCATCAAAAGACGGCAGCAACGACGATTGGGAATCGTCGGCTGTCGGCCCGAAAGCCGAAGCACTAAGTGGAGACACCGGCGAGCGAGAACATTCTGAGGGCTCTGGACTGGCCGAGGCAGAGTCGACGCTAAGTTGAGCCATACCGATCAGCGACGCAAAGCTAAGTTGTGTGGAGACGAAAGCGCAGAAAGCTGCGTGCAGCAGCAGGCGCGAGCCGCCCAAACACAAACCCCAGAAAGCACGCTGTACGTTTAGACTCTATGCCGACAACGCCAAGTGTAGAGGATATGCACGCGCGGTGCAATCTGGGAGACTCGTGCAGACGAACTCACTTGTTAGTAACTCGTGTGGAACAGCCGCAGTAGCTGTTGCCAAGGGAAGGTAGAGGACTGTCCAAGATGGGGCCAGGATCAGCTGCTCAAGCAGGGGCTACTAGATCCTGTACCCTGTTTTATTCTTCCGTGGGGAGTTGCATCTCCCCGAACCTTTAAGAACATTACAGTCGAGGGACCCTTTTAGTGCCGGTTGAATAGTGCCAGATGCCCGGTATAGTGCCGGTAAAATCTCTGCACACAGGCGGAGCTCTCAATAGTGCCAGACCGGCACTAATTAAAGCATGCCCGATATAGTGCCGGTTCGGCACTGCTGTCACCCCCAATAGTGCCGGTACTCCGCACGCGCGAAACACACACACGCACAACCCAGGGCAGAAAACATAGACTCCACACACAGAAATAGGGTACACGTGCTGCTGCAGACCCGAACAGCTCTACACAGGGGCGTACCATGCCCTGTGCGGAAGGTGAACTGTGCCAACTACAGGACACCACGCCGCAAGACCCTCATGGTCACGGCTGCAAGGAGGATGTGGCGGGCGACTGCACGGCATTTGCGGCAGTGTGGTTGATGTAGGCAACGAGAATCACCGCATCTGCAGCGCGTGCGTCGCCAAAGCCGGCAAGCGCAAAGTGTCAGCAGCAGACAGCACTGGGAAGGCACAATCTAAACGTCCGAAGGCCACGAATGGGGGGAGTAACAAGTCTCAGCCTCGTGCGCGGCCAGATTTCAGCGCCAAGTGTGAGATGCTGAAGCTGATGGATCAGAAGGTGACTCATGAGCAGCTAGCAGATCGCTTCAAGTGCTCGGAACGGTTGGTCCGGGATGTGAAGAAGAACAGGAAGAAGTACGAGACCGAGGCTGCTGCAGGACGCGGAGGAAGCAAGAAAAACGTGCGCACAGGCAATAATCCGGAGGTGCGCTACTCTGCTGTTGTTTTAAAAAAATACGCGTAGTTCCCGCGCCTTCTTTGCCTTTTTTTTTTATTTTTTTTTTGCCGGGCCTTGTTTGCAAAGAGTTTTCGTTTTTGCAAGGACCTTTTTCTGTAGCCTTGTTCGTCTATCTGATGTTCTTGTTCTTTTTTCTTCTTCTCTTGTCAAGTTGTTCCCTGTTCTCTGTTCCCTTTCCCCATGTTTCTTCTATTTCTCGACTGTTACAGTACTTGTTGAGCTTATTCCCTCTCGTCGTTCGTTTGTGTCTTTTTTTGTGTTACCTTTTTTTTCAACTTTCTTTGTTGTTTTATCGTTCGTGCGCTGCTGCGCCAGCATATAAACTGCGAACCAAAAATGTGTACTTGTTTGTACTGTACTGGTACATTACATCGCACGCACACCTATTCTTTCAAACGAGTTACAATACATAAATACACATGCGGATGCAGCGGCGAGCTTCTGTGGTTTTTCAAATGCCCGGAAATGTTTCCTTCCCACTACGATGCACTGTGCAACGAGGCTTAATGTTCGAAACTAATCGTGCTATCTTTTGTACCCTCTTTATTGTTTACTCCTCGTTTGACGGTCAATAGGTGGACGCCATAGCTCTTGACCTACTAGAGAAAGCCCGGAAGACCAAGATGCCCGTCACGCGCGACGTCCTTCGAAGCTTCGGCCGTGCCGCCAGGGCAACCCTGCTGGCTGATCCAGCAGCTTCTAAGGAAGTGAAGGCGAGGGTCGAGGATTTCAAGGCCGGCGAAAGGTGGGCCAGGAACTTCGTGAAGCGCAACATCATCGACAGCGTGAGACTTCATGGAGAGGCTGGTAGCGTCAACAAGGAGGCCATCAAGGAAGCCATGGAAGAACTCCGCATCGAACCCGGAAAGCCGCTCCTGGAGGAAGCGGTGAACGCGATTCAAGGGTGGGCTACCATCGAGGACGACGATGAAGTGGTTGAGGCTCTCAGAGAGGATACGGTGGAAGACATGACGGCACAGCTGGCTGGGACTCGAGTGTCTACCGGCCGCGAGGAGGAGGACGAGGAGGAGGACAGCGGCGATGACAACACGGGGCTCGCGCGCCGTGTCCCACCGGCTTATGGTGAACTGTCGTCTCACTTCGGCGTCCTGGAAGCGGCAGCAGAGGAGAGCGGCAATGGAGACGCGGCGCTCTACCTAGCGAAAGCGAAGATGGCGATGATTGCAGCGCATTCCAAGAGGCGGGTGCGCCAGGCAGACATGAGGGAGTTTGTTGCTACGGAGTAAGGGCGGGGAACAGCTGTGGCACTAAAAAAACGGTTGTTTGATTTTTGCGGTGCGCTGCCCGTCGTGCATGTCATTTTTTTTTTCTTGCAACATCGAAGCGGGTGCGCCAGACAAGGAGATAATTTGTTCCGACGTACCGTAGTGAGGACAGGGGTTACAGCTGTGGTAACGGTTGTTTGATTTTTTGCGGTGCGCTGCCTGTCGTGCTTGTTTTTTTTTTCTTGCAACATCGAAGCGGGTGCGCCAGGCAAACAGGAGAGAATTTGTCCCGACGACAGTACACAAATAAGCAAATAAGTGAGGTGCAGAAGAAAATGAAGAACCAAAGAGCGCCCCAAGACAACAAAAAGAAAACTCAACTCTGCCCACGCCCATGCTGGAACTTCACTCACCAGTACAGTAATAGTGTCGATCCATTTCGTTCTTTGTTGGCCCCGTAAGCGTGGGCGCTACACCATAAATCGAACACAACCTCATTAGTGCCGGTACCGGCACTAATGAGGGATTGGCCAGCCCTCAATAGTGCCGTTTTGGCACTATTCGCAATAGTGCCGGGTGCCCGATTTAGTGCCGGTGAACGCTCTGTGCACGTACCGGCACTAAAAGGGTCCCTCGACTGTATTACATACCCCCCCCTGATTCCAGGTAGATACACCAAACACTAACCGATGTTGAACCTCTAGGCTCCTCGAGTCCTTGTGGTGCTGCTTTCTCCTGGGGAGACTTCGTTACTACAGTACTGTTGTGTACCATGTTTGAACAATGCTACTGTGGGTCTGCAGCAGCAGTCATTCGCTTCTGTTGAAGCCCAGATCTTTCCATTCCAGCTGGACTCGGTCACACAACAAACAGCAGGAGTGACCAGTGGTCCCATAGGTAACGCTCAGTTTGGGATTCGTTTGGGACTTGGTTCCAACTCTCGGCGAGTCGCGGTTAGTCGCACGGAGTAGGATTTTTGGGGATGGGTGTTTTGAGTAAGGCTAGGTTGCTCACTCCACATCTAGCCTAACCCTAACCCTCACCCACGGCCAAAGCACGGCCTAGCGGCCGTGAACGCCGCGTGCTCGGAATGCGGACGGGGAAAGGGCGCTGGAGAAGAATCGGCCGCCAGAACCAACGCCAAACAACCCCCGACCAATCATAACGCGTTAGTAGTCCTAAAGATCTACTATCAATGTGTGAACACTACTATTACTGGTGTGTTTTCTTCTACTTAGAAACACCCAACGAATCCATCTCGATCTACACAGCAGACGGAGGCATGATAGTCTAGTTATATATTTTGGAGAAAGAAAAAAGCGCATGCAGTAGGCTGGTGCGTTGTTGTTACTATTAGGAGCACGTCGTTACTATTGGCTCACTTACCAAACAGTAGCAACAGCAATGTTGAGTTGTGGGGGCCCCATGAGTTGTGGGGGCGCCACTTGATATTGAAAGCGAGGGTGGTGTTCATCATCATCATGGATGCGGCCCGCACCTCAAATACGTGCGGCCTGCACATTCCGCGCGGCCCACAAGCTTTTGCTTAGACATGGGTTGTAGTGAAGGGGGGAGTCTTTCTGGCGAGCAGGGCTAGACTCACCCTCAAGGGATGACCGAAACCTTCTTGCTGCTGGGCATCCGCCGCGAGGCGTGCGTGTGGTGGTGGAGTTGGGTCGGCACTGATGGGGTCAGGCGGGAAAATGTAGATGCGCGGGCCTTCCTGGCCGTCGGCGTAGGCAGTGATGCCCATCTCATTTTTGTGTGCGGAGGCAGACACCAACAGAAAGGTGGACGGGCACTACACGGCCCTAGGTTTGCTGGAGGGAGCTGTATTGCCTCAGTGACCTGGCTTCGCCATCAAAGGAGGAGGGAGCAAGTAGCGACGAGCTGAACTGGGCTGGTTGACCATTCGGCGCGATAATTTTTATTATTTTCAGACCAAGAACCTTGAGTGTAATGAGGGAGAAAGCGAGGAACGGACTGGGAAGGACAGCAACGAGAGCGTGTACGGACGGAGCAGGTCGAGTGGCGTTTTGCTCGGGCTGACTACAGCGGCGCCGGATGGAGCAGTGGCACCGGAGCATGCGGGCGACATCGACCCGTGGCGCACGGACAACACTTCTATCTGTGTTGTCAAAAAATTTTCGATTTTTTTTCTTGCATTTCCGTGTTGGTTTTGTGTGATGACGTCGTCGCCGGTTTTGTAGAGAGACCCGTCAGAGATGGCGTGGCTAACCCGGGTGCATTGGTTTTGTGCCTGATCGTGGAAGACCCCTTCAATGTGGAACGATTCTTAGCTAGTGTCGATATTTTTCACTGCAGTGCCTAACACAGATGATCGGGAGAGATTCGGGTGGACTGCTGCTCTGATGGCTTTGGTTGGTTGTTCGTTTTCACTGTACGGCCGCAGACACATTCTGACAGCACTTCAGACAGCAGCTTTGTGCNTTTGGGCACGCATACGGTGCTGCAGGGATTTTTAGGTGTACCTCTTCGGGCTCTTGGATACCTGTTTCTCGTTATATGTGTGCGTGTTCTTTAGATCCTCAGATGGCTCTGGCACTTTCGTGACCACGGGCTGAGAGTCTTTGCTAGATTTTGGCATTTAGCAACTGACATACGGTTTCATGTGAAGACAACAACAACAACAACAACATATGTATGCCTAGAACGATCCAAGATGCGGGCCGCAGGAAGGAAAAGTGGTCCGAAAACCGAAAAACGTTGTGGTACATTTTTGCGAGACAAGCACTCATGCATGCGCATAATCGACTTCGTAAGTCGCGAGGGAAGGGATTGCTGCACCCTTCTCGCGATAAAATTACCTCAGGCAGGAACCGCAGGAGGGGCTCCAGCCGCCCCCTCCCATGTGACCCCGGTTGGGTCATCTAGCTAGTAGAAGTGGAGGATAGGGGCCAGAGGGGCAGACGACAGAATCCGATGATGTGAGCAAAAAAAAAAAATGTGGCAGCATCGAGAATTTTTGTGGATTGTACCGTGACCCGGCGAGGGCGCTAGTGTAGTGGAACAAACTCTCAGGGAGTGGGCGTGGAGACCTTTGTATTCAGAGGCGCATAGTGCAAAAAAAGCTCAACGCTGAATGGAATGGAACACCCAACAATGATTTCGCCTGGCGCTGCCGCCAACTGATAATGCCGCCGCTCGCTGCTAAGAAGCGGCGTCCGAGAGACACCCAACCAAACCCATATCTCTCCTCTCGCTTCCTCCGCCGATAGCTAATAGCAGCAGTGGTGTAGTATAGGTCACACCCTTCTCCCGCGGTCTCGCCCTCGCTGTGGTGTGTGTCTCCCTCCCCCTTTGTCCATGTCTTCCGGCTTCGTGTGCGTGTTGTCACCACAGCAGTCTAGCCTTCCTTGCAGAGACCTAAATCAAACCCAACGTGCATGTTTCCTCTCGCTTCCTCCGCCGATAGCTAACAACAGCAGTAGGAATAGGTGACACCGTGCTCCCGCCGTCTCGCCCTCTCGCTGTGCGGTGCGTGTGTGTCTCCCTCCCCCCTTGTCCATGTATGTCTGGCTCGTATGTCTGCCTCCGGATGATGGTGTCTTGCTGCGTGAGCCTTGGTGTGTGTGTGTGTTTTCGTCCTATTTATTATGGCGACAGTCCCCCCATTTTTCGTGGTGAGACGACTACACTTTTCAGCGCATGTAGAGTACTATTTATTTATTTATTTATTTATTTTTGCCTTCCGACAATTGCAGATGTACCTCAGAAAACTTTCACTTCATGTCTCATACTCTACATGAATATTAAACCAATACGAAGTACAACAACATATGTAGGACTTATTTCTACTGTCATTTACATCGTAAAAGTATCTCCTCTTCAACTTACCAATGACAATCCTCATGGTATCCTATATGCGTTCGTAAGCTTGCTAAAATACTACGGCGTTGATGTCCGCTTGTAAAAGCTGAAATCCAACAAATGCTTTGATCCATGCTACATCTCCGTGTTGGAAAAGCCCTTTCATCTCCGTTCATGATAANATGTCTGGCTCGTATGTCTGCCTCCGGATGATGGTGTCTTGCTGCGTGAGCCTTGGTGTGTGTGTGTGTTTTCGTCCTATTTATTATGGCGACAGTCCCCCCATTTTTCGTGGTGAGACGACTACACTTTTCAGCGCATGTAGAGTACTATTTATTTATTTATTTATTTATTTTTGCCTTCCGACAATTGCAGATGTACCTCAGAAAACTTTCACTTAATGTCTCATACTCTACATGAATATTAAACCAATACGAAGTACAACAACATATGTAGGACTTATTTCTACTGTCATTTACATCGTAAAAGTATCTCCTCTTCAACTTACCAATGACAATCCTGATGGTATCCTATATGCGTTCGTAAGCTTGCTAAAATACTACTGCGTTGATGTCCGCTTGTAAAAGCTGAAATCCAACAAATGCTTTGATCCATGCTACATCTCCGTGTTGGAAAAGCCCTTTCATCTCCGTTCATGATAACATCTTACCCTATTCTCAAACAAGAAGACGTCAACTTCAAACGAAAACGCGTTCTACGATGCGTCTACACTCCATCCCCATATCATTGGCGTTGACTGGTCCGAGGTCGATCTTGTTCGCCTGTTTTCGGCGTCTTGACGCCCGCGCAATGCGAGCTTGTACCTCTGCACTCGCCAAGATATGGCCACCTGTCTGTGTAGCCACCGAAACGATCTGAAGAAGTCGTTCCTTGAAGACTCCTTTCAGAGCCATCGTTCCTCCGTCCCTTCCTCCCACGGCATGTGTCGCAAGTTCATCGATGAACTCGTAACTCTCCTCTCCAAGGCGGCCAAAGCTTTCCACGGCTAAGGTGGTAACTATTATTAGTCTACACTTTTCACTGTATTTTTCGTACAACTACACCCATCCAGGGTCACACAGGAGGGGGTAAACGCCAGGGTTTGTTTTCCTTCTTTTTATTAATTTTCATGCCCCACCTTCCTCCTACTGCGGTGCATGCTGAATTTTATTTTTATCGCGAGAAGGGTC